TATGTAGTATTCCATTGGGTTTGGTCGTCAATAAAAAGGCTCCTTTGACTGGGGACCTGAAGTTTCTGTTTGAGGTTTAGGAATTTTTCCTCATGCAAATCTGAAGTCTTCACATATTTTACACTATCCCGGATTTTTTTCACTAGATCTTGTACAGAACTCAGCAAATCATTTGCAATGCTGCTTAAAGTTCTTGCAATGCAACTTCCCACCAACAATTGACCATTGAGGATAAGTGGGTTTTTTGCAGAGAGTAATGATCTGAGATTTCCAAGGGAAACATCGCTGAGTGCACGATTACAAGTAATAGAAAACAGCCTGCCATCGAAATTCCAATCAGAAAGGCAAGCAGATACAGCATGGCAGATAGCAGAGTCAGAATCAGGGTATGGTTCCATCACAACGTTGAGAATTCTCTTCTGCAACTTCCAATCACTATCAACAAAATGTCCAGTTATGAATATATATCCTACAGACTGACTTGAGGTCCACATGTCCAGTGTCAGACAGAATCGTCCTGGTAATCCCTCAAAATATTTCTGAAGTTTTTGTTTTTCGGACAGGAAAGTTGCAACACAGTCTCCTTGGACGGTGTTAAAGGTCACCATATTGAACTGGGGCTGCAGATTATGGACAAACGCAACAAATCCTGGATGTTCAACCATGTGAAGGGGGTAATCATGCATTATGATCATCCTAGCAATCTCATGGCGGCAACGATCTTGATCAACAATTATGTAAGGAGAACCACCAGTTCTATAACGTCGCTTTGGTGTAGTGCTAGCATTGCCAGCACCAGTTCCCCTTGCTCGAGGGGCACACGTGTTCTGATCTTGAGCACGCAAAACAGCTGCGCATGTCCCCTTAATAATGTGGCGCTTAAGGTGGCTGGTACCAGCAACCTTTGAACCAGTACTATAGGCAAAACTTTGATGACACTGCTTGCAATACGCTCTTCTACATCCGGGTTCAACATTTTCTATGGTAAAGTGTTCCCAAACAATAGACTTCTTTTTCCTCCTTTTGTTTGGCTGAGTCTCTGGGGTAGGTTCCTCACAGTTCAGAGGAGTGTCGGCACTTACAATCTCATAGCTGGGTATGATGTTAGCATTGACAAGTCCATAGTGTTCTTGAGAATTAACTAGCTGATTCTCATGCAGTGTTTCACTATTTTCCAGCTGATAGTGATGTAACATTTGGGAATTAGCTAGTTGTCCAGGGGACAGTGTCTCAGAATCGGTTAGCTGATGGTTGCACAGTGCCTCAGAATGGTCCAGATGATTGTTGGGAACTGAATCATACTGAGCAAGATGATCATGATGCATTGGTTTGATGTCTATCATGTGACTGTCTTCAAGTTGTTCAGAGCACGGCAGAGGATCACCATTGGGTAGAGATTCAGGTTGAGGCAGCTGATCTTCAGGAATCATATGGAAATCGGCAAAGTGATGGTTATGAGAGTGAGTTTCAGGATGAGAAAGGTGATGGTTGGGATCAATTGTGGAACTGTCCAGCTCATTTTCAGTCATGATCGTATCATTGATGTTGTGTGCCTCAGACATGTCCACCTCATTGCTTTGCTGTGTTTCAAACATAACAATTTCACTGCTATGCTGTGTTTCTGGTAAAGCCACCTCATTGCTATGCTGCGTTTCAGATACTACAACCCCATCATCATTTGGAAGCTCTTCGGAATTAACATCAGCAGCGAACTTCTGGTCAAGAGTAGCCTCAGAACTAACAGGCTGATTGTCAGAGGGTGTTTCAGACTCGACCGATGGATTGTTTGGCGGTGCCTCATAATCAACTTGCTGATTGTTGTCTGAGGCATCAGCATTGCTCGACTGTCCGTTGGGCAGTGATTCTGAATTCTCTGGCTCATTATTAGGAGGTTCGGTAGTGTTGTCCAACTCATGATCGGATGTCCGTCCATTTGCATCACCATCAGAAGCCTGTAACTCAGAAGCAGGAACTCCAGTGTCCGATTCTACTCTGGAGTCAGAGAAATCACTGTCAGGCTGACAATCAGCACTGACTGGGGCATTTTTCAGAACAGGGGTCGCATCCACTCTGTCTTCGTCAACAGTAACCATCTTATTTCAATATGTATCCAGCTACAATACACAGAAGAAACAATTGCTGATTAATGGTGAATATAAATTATACGCAGTATGTATAGCCATGAAGAAAACATGAGATCACAGAGACATCAGATGTCCACACTACCATGCAAAGTATTTAATTTAAATAATGACAAGCATGCAATGTGCATTAGATTAGAATGAATAAAAAGAACAAAGACATTACATAAATTGCATCATTTAGAATGAACATAAGCATTTTTGTTTTCCTATAGCCACATATGCAGACAAAACAGCAATAACATAACAAACACTGCACTGTCATCTTACAAAAGCATCTTTACTCTGTTAAGAAAAAGGCCCAAGGAGTGAGTGGCCATCTTATCCCTTAGGTTTTGCATACAGTACAATCCAAATATTACACAGGCCCACATATGGGCCAGGTTGGCCCAATTAAATAATTAAAACAAAAACAAAAATTTAATAATAATAATATGAAAATAACAACATAACAGAACTCATCAGCAGAAGGATCCATGGCAGATTGTCGATCAAGTACTACCCACAAAGCTCACATAAACAATGGTTAAAATCAAAACTGGAATATTACATCATCAATGTACTACCACGGCATGAAACTTATATAAAAATTAAATAGATAACACAATGATAATTGATCAAAAAGACCAGATCATAACAAAAAAAACAGATCAAGAAAACCAAAAAAACTAAACAACGTAAAAAGGTAAACAACTGGTTCATGAAAAACCTAACTGCAAAAGACAAATTAGAAATCAACAAAAATTTAGAAAATCATGAAGTTAGGGTTACAGATCTACAAATTGAAAAATAAAATGGCCGAAACGCGGATCCGAATCGGAAACCGCGTCAGAAAGATCGCCGGAGTGAGATCTAGGGTTTAACAGAGGAGAGAGAAAGAGAAAGGGCTCACCGGAGATGGAGATTGGGCCTGGACCTAATTGGACTTTAGATTTAGGGTTACTGCTATATGAAAACTTGGTTGGTTTTTGTTACGATGAGATAACGGTGTTTTGAGTTTTTTTTCTCAAAAGTTTGAGAATAGGGCAATTCTCTTTGGATCTCTGAATTTGGACTCTACAGGTCCATTAATAGTTTTTTATTATTATTTTATCACTTTTTTTTGTTATTATTGTTTTTTTTTAAACTTAGGGTCAGGACCGAATTAAGTGGACTATATGCGGGTCCCACACTTTTGTTTCTTTTTTTTTGATAATTTTTATAGCCCATTAATTTGTGTACATTTTTTCTATTTGCTCTTTTTAATTCTTTATAACCATTGAAATTCAATTTGATCCAGCTACTTCTTCCTAGACATTAAAATCTGACCATTTTTCATTGCACCCTTATTATTTCTCTCCGTTACTGCACGAAATATTAAATCTTATTTTTTTTGTTTATTTTAGTTTAGAAATATATATTTGAATAAATTTTAATTTTAATTTAAAGATGTATTTTTAAAAATTAGAGTTATTAAAATGAGTTAGCTCATATAGGTCGGTTCTCTCGACCTGAAAAATCATAAGATTTGGACTTTTAAATTAGAAAATTATTTTATGGACTTTTTTAGTCTAATCCTAAAAATTCTGCTATATTAGAGCTAGCCCATATGAGTCAAAGGGAGCCAATTAGAACCACATAATTATAAATTTTTAAAAATTATATTAATTTTTATATTGTGTTACTCTAAAATATCATATTGATTTTTTTTACTTCACTAAATTTTGTTTTAATTTTTCTCTATTAAATATTATATATTAATATAATCAATACTCATTGTTTGTGTTCTATTAGTTTCTCTTATGTTAAATATTTGAGTATTATTTTAAACAATTTAAACATATATTATATCTAAAAACATATTATAGTATTTATAAAAGATAATATGGTACTTAAAAAATATATTATGTTTAAAATGATATAATTTTTTTATTTTATTTATAATAAATATTATGGTTTTTTATTTTTTATTTTTATAAACAAATTCATTTAGGATTAAGTAGTCCGAAGTTTATCTAGGGCCAGACTCAAATAGTAACTTCTAATTCCATATTACAATAGATTTTTTTTTTACTCAGCTTAAAAAATTCAAGTCCACCAAAACCGATTCGATTAGAGTCGAATAATCCATATCGACAACTCTACTGAAAATACTCTTTATTCTAATAAAAAAAGAATAATGATTACTGCATTTATTATTTAATTTCATATTATAAACTTATATAATGATTAATTTTACAATTTAAGTTATTTTTATCTAATAATATCTCACTTTAATTATATTATAATACTTTTAAAATGAATATATTTTTAATTAAACTTAACAAATATTTACCAAGTCAACAATAAAAACTAAAATAAAGTTTAAGTAAAAATTAAAGTATTATTTTTTTTGTCAAATTGTAAAAAAGTTCAGTTTTAATTATATAAAAATAATACTAAAATTGTGATAAAAAATATTACTTTTAAATAATATATTTATCATATATTATAATATTATAAGCACTTAAATATTTATTTCTCTTTAAAATAATAGACATTTAAAAGTCAATTGTATTTCACTAATTATTATTATTATTATTATTATTATTATTATTATTATTATTATTATTATTATTATTATTATTATTATTATTATTATTATTATTATTATTATTATTATTATTATTATTATAGACTTTAAATTTGACTAGTTGTCTGATTTTGTACCATAAATTTATATTTATCATATGAGAAAATTCTAGGCTTTGGAAAAGCCATCTTTGTCCCTTTGCCTTCTTCTGCCATATCATCAATTTTTGGGCAACCTAGGTCTTATTTCACCAAATTGTAATTATCCAAGGCCATGTTTTCTTTCCAATCGAAGATCTTTTCCCTTACATGGTAAATGGACATCTTTTCGAAACCAGAAATCTTTTCACAAGTAAACAGCTCTCGAATAACTACAAAACTTTAAAGCCATGCCTTTCTCCCAGCCATCTCATCTCAGTTATCCTGCATGCTTCTACACAGCTTCACACGACTCTATCCATAACTCATCTCTACCACAAATTCTTTTTCTGCTCTCTCTCTTTCATTCGTCTCCTCGCTCTTAACTGCATTGGGCTTCTGATATCTTCATCTTCTCTCTCTTTCGATTTTGATTTAGTGTTTGTTGTTTCAGGTTTGGTGGTGTTGGATCATGCAAAAGGGGGAAGATTCGTCGACGGTACATTTTTTATGGCTCCATGTGTGGTTCCTCTGTGTGGAAATGGACTGTGGAAAGTTGTTCAGTATGTTTCATGTCTTTAGAAGGTACAAATCACTACAAATATTTGAAGGTTCATGATGGGTTTCAATCTTTCGTGGAATGTAAGACAACGAGTTCAATAACGGAAAAGTTAGGGTTATGATTTTGTGGTTTGAGTTATTGTGGTTGGTTGATGATTTAGAGTGGGTGATATATGATTGATGAAGGAACAGGAAGCAAACAGAGGCAATCTTAGAAGAAGCTTCAATGATAAACCAGACATGTTTTGTTATCATTTTGTATTTCTTATGCGGGGGATAAACGACTTATAACATAAGCGCTTATCATATATAAATGTTGTTTGGTCTAAGACATAAATTATTTTTTCGTCTATGTAGTCATTGATAGAAATGGATGGGTTTGCAGCAACTAACTGGCCAGAAGCCTTGGATCCAGAAAATTCAAAGGCAAACTGAAATTTGTTCTTAAAGAAGTAGCAGAAACCCATGGTCAAACTATGCTTTTCATTGATGAGATTCATACTGTTGTTGGATTATGCAAGACAGTTAGACATGAGTATTCTAATTCTAATTTTGTGCAGACCGGGATGCATGTTGGGTCGGAGAGAAAATCCAGGGGAGCACGAGGCCATGCGAAGAATGAAAAATGAATTCATGGTAAACTGGGATGGCTTACGTACAAAGGATACTGTAAGAGTTCTTGTGCTCATAGCCACCAACAGACCTTATGACCTTGACAGGGCTGTCATACGAAGGCTGCCTCTGAGGTGTGTTCAATCACACTTTAGTTTGATTTTTTTTCCTTTATTGGTTTTAGAGATATTGAAGTTTTCTTGATCTTTAATCTTCTCCAGATTAATGGTAAATTTACCAGATGCTCCAAATAGAGCAAAAATATTAAAAGATATAATGCCAAAATAAGATATGTCTTTTGATGTCAATCTGAATGCAATAGCAAGTATGAATGGTGGATATTCTATAAGTGATATTAAGGCCGAGTGTTCTTTTTCCTTTTACTCTATACTTTTTAAGAATAAGGTTATATGTGCCATCATGCTTTTTCGTCCTGTTAAAGAGATTTTAGAAAAGGAAAAAAGTATGGTTCTTTAGAATGGTGTATTAACATCATGCTAGGTACTCCGAAAATGTCATTGTTCTTTGCTGTAGATTAATAGTTAGAGTGATCTGTTTAAATAAGATACTATGAGATCATGTTTGCATTACACTACAATAAATAACGCATTTTATTATGGAGCTTTCAAATCATTCATAAAAATAACGAGGTATTAAGCCTAGGCGCGCCATGTTTTATATTTGGAAAAGTAACAACTTATCTCAGTTTCTAATATATCAGACGAGTAAAACTAATGAGAACGTGCTTCGAGTCCAAACTTTTGCAGTTTATGTTTTATTTTGATTATAATTGTAAACTAAAACAACTAACCCTTTAGTTCAATATAATCGAGGGATCGACTAATTAGATTTCACTAGAAAAGCAAATAGATTTTACATTAATCCTTACTTATTTGTAGGTTGTAGCCACCCCGAACTCGCAAGCATCATTCTTTAGCATGGATTGCAAGATAGAAAAAATATTTAATGTTCTAATTGGGAAAAAAAATTCGTTCCTTCAATGTTCTTATAGAACAAAATGTTTTTTCTGCCCTTGAAATATATCTCACATAATGGTGTTGATATTGTTGTTGTTGTTGTTGTTGTTGTGTTTTTGCTCATTTAATAGTTTGCAAGTGCAAAAAAGTCATTTTTGCTTCAAGGGGCAATGAGGAAGCTCCCTTCTATTTTTAAAAGTTACATAATGAAGGGGGCTTAACTAATCGGATGATGGATACCAGTGAAGATATTCATTCAAAAGAGCAAATATTTGTTTTAAATCATTTATTTTAATATTTTGTGTAAAAAATGTAAGTTCAAAAAAATAATAATAATACTTTTCACCTCGATTTTTAAAAAAATCTGAGTGATAGCTAAAATCAGAAGATAATATACCTCAATTTTATGATAAATCTGAGGGGTAAAGTATTCAGATTTTACTATAAATACCTTTGTTAATCATATTTTACCCTAATTCTAACTAATATGTAGCTGCACTAGATAGAGGAAATATTTACCATTGTCCATTGCCATGAATTTTTTATATCTAGAAACGCTTAAGAACAAATATCTGAGATGGATTGCAAGTGCAGAAAATAAAACAACTTATCCGAAGTTGAATAAGTTATGGAGTGCTTTTTGGATATGCAATATAAAGGTATGCAACAAAATTTAGATTCCACCAAAGATTTGTTGTTGAAAACACTTTCTCCTTTAATTATGTCTACTTGCCGATAGATTTTAGGTACGCTACCAAATCCTTCTCCAGAACATTCAGTGTTCATATGTTAAAAATAATGATGATTGATAATTGTGTTAAAAATAATATGTTAATAATAGATTTTGTAGAACTGGGTTGAATAATAGTTATGCTTTTGTTAATTTCACTAAGCCTAAATCAGAAGTGGGAATTTGTTATAATATTGTGTTTTGGTATTCTTTGTAAAAAATGTAACTTAAAAAAAAAAATAGAAGTGAAGGTTTTACAAAATTTGAAAATGATATTGTTGTTGCTGGTGCGAGGAAGAAGATGAAGTTCATCTTCAAATTTTTGGAAATATGTTTACTTTATATTTAATGCAACATATTTTATAATCAGATGAAACAGCCACCTCAGTGGTAAAACAAACGCGCGTTAACCTTAGGGATCTGGGTTCAAGTCCCAGTGGTATCCTTTTATTTTTTTCACATATTTTCTTACAGATCCAGTATGAACAACCCAACATTCATACCATGAGCCTCCTCAATCATCACCGTCCAATCCAAATCCACCGTCCAACTCAAATCCAACGCTGTGGACAGGTTACCCCATGATGCACTCCAAGTAATGGTTCTCACAGGATCATCACAGGCACCCAGGCTCTCTATCTTGGGCCTAATGTTTTCTTCTTCTACACCCCCAAATTCCTTTCATAACTCAGGCCCATTAAAATTCTTTTTTTGTTTTATTTTCTCAATTAATTATTTTTTTAATTAATTTTATTTAAATCATAAAATCATAAAATCATTAAAAAAAAGTTAGACTTAGATTTTTTATTAATTAATTTAATTTTTGATAAATAAAAATTAATTTAATTTAGTCACTTTGAGTTTATTTAATTAATTAGAATTAAGGTTTATACTATAAAATATTTTTCTAAATAAAACATCAAAAATATTTTCTAAATACTTAGAATTTTTTAGGTTTTATATATCTTTCCCTTTTCACCATCTTCACGCACTTTACTTTCGCATTAGTATTTTCCAATATTGTAACTGCTAACGGTCTGTAATAAATAATTAGATTTACTTTAATTTTCATCCCTATTCATAAATTTGTACTCCCACTCCCGAAGCGTTGTAATAGCATAGGATATTTAATTTCCGCCATTTACTGCTTTTCTTATTATTGTTAGTAATTAGGGTTTGTATGACAAGAAAAAAATAACTGAAATTAAAACACTTCGCACACGCGCACCTCTAGGGTAATCCCCACTTATTGCCTCGGATTTAAACAGTCATGTCCCTCGAGCGTGGGATGCTTTAGCAAAGACCCTCGATTAAAAAGATCGTAGTCCCTCGATGACCCTTCGATGTTACCTTCAGTAAATGATCTTAGTCCCTTATGAAAATTGCTAAAGCATCCTACAAGTTGCCTTTTATGACTATACGATGACTCACGTATGTCCCTCACATCCAACGATAAGGATTCCTACTAACTAATGGTAGGGTAGCACTATCTAAAGGAGGAAGAAAAGAACAAATACTTTTTTGAGTAGGTAAAACGCTCGTAATCGCTTGCTTACAAACTTTTAAAACAAAACATCTTTTCACAAAATGATACTTTCTTTCACAAATATTTTCAAAACAAACATTTTGTATACATTCTCAATGATACAAGAATCATTACAAAATTGCCGCACTTAGGCATTTTCAAAATATTTTCAAACATACACAAGCACAAACCATTTCCAAAAAGTGAGCTAGCAATTAAGAGCCCGTAGATAACTATGGATGAAAAGGGTGCTAACACCTTCCCTTTTAATAACCTACCCCCGAACTCAGAAAATTCTCAAAAGGTCTTTCCTGTTCTTTTCACCCTTTCCTTTATTGGATAAAAGAAAAGTCGGTGGCGACTCTTGCTATCTGTAACATTTGCGATAATACACAAAACCCAAAAGTCAGTTCTCCCACCATATTACAGAATTGGAGACTCTTTTGGGGAATACGTAAACTAAAAGTGGGGTTACCTTAAGAGCTAGATCACCTTTATTGCTTTACTTATTTGTCTTGTATGCTTTATATTTTGGGATATGCTTGGGTTTATTTCTTGTATAGATCCTATACCCGAATTTGGGGGCATTTTAGGTAAGTAGCAATAGATCGTGAAAACTGTATGGCATAGACCGATATGGTTGAAACGATGGCTATGTTAGTGCGACACATTGGTTGGTACCGGTGTCCCTTGAGTCAGTCAAGGAGAATGTTGGGCTACCGCGTGGTGTCATAAGCACTAACTGACCTTAGAACCTTAGTTGAAACAACTTAGCCATTAGAAAGTAGTGAGATGCCCGACTTTGGTGCAAACTGAAGTTGGTTGATACTCGATGCTACACTCATTGAGATTAGACTCTTGGGATATTTCGGTCGCAAATCAGATGCTTGTGCTGAAACAATGCCTGAGAGAAAATCAGTGATATGAGATTCCTAGAACCCGGTTACTTCTTTTAGAACAGATTGAACCAACTAAATTTGAGAGGGTACTTACCTATAAACTCCATGCAAGCCTGAACCTAAGGCCTTTTGTGTCTTATTTGTGTTTGATTAAATTTGTTCGAACATGACATCATGACATCATACCATATCATTTTCACTAACTATTTCAAGGACCAAGAAATTTATCTTTATTTTGTTTTATATGTTATGGCCTCAGATCGTAGAAATACTATCTTAATCAGTTTTGTGAAGATACCTTCTCAACTTAAGGAGTTAGTCTCAAAAGTTCCTGAAAGCTCTCAATTCACCAAGAGGCATGGTCGTCTACTCAGTTTGGTTACCTCGGGTTTTGAAGAAGATATGATGAGTGTTTTATTCTAGTTCTTTGATCTCGCACATCACTGTTTCACCTTTCCAGATTATCAGCTGGTACCCACAATGGAATAATTCTCTAAGCTACTGGGAACACATGTTCTTGATCAGACACCTTTCATTGGTTTAAAAAAAGATCCACAACCTAAATAAATTGCAGCAGCCTTACATCTGAAGTGGTCCGACATTGTATCTAATTGGGAAACAAGAAGTGAAGTCAAGGGTTTTCTATCTAAATTTATGTTAGAGAAGGCTCTGCTGTTTTTGGATGCTATGATTTTTCAAGCTTCCGAATAAATATTGGCTTTGTTGATCTATGGTTTGGTGCTATTCCCTAATCCAGACCAACTCATAGATGTGAACACCATCAAAATATTTCTCACTCATAACCCTGTGCCTACCTTGCTCAGAGACGTTTTACGTTCTCTCCACACTCGTACTATGAGGAAGCGAGGGACTCTTTGTTGAATACCTTTGTTGTCTATGTGGTTTATTTCGCACCTTCCCTGCTTAGTAATGAAAAATGAACAAGGTTTGAGGTGGTCTCAAAGAATAATGTCACTTTCTCATTTAGATATATATTGGTGCTCCTGATCTCAAGGGGATATTACTATCATTGACCGTTATGGGGAATTTACTAATGTTCCACTCTTTGGAATTATGGGAGATATTACTTACAACTCTTCTCTAGATTTACGCCAATTTGGTTATGCTCGAAGAGACGGTCTTCATGACACACTGATCCAGGGTATTATGTTCGATTACGAGAATGATTTTCAAGGTTATCGTCAAAGCTTTATACGTGCTTGGGGCATGGTAAGCAAGATTGATAGCAAGACTTTAGGACAAAAGAATTCCATCCCTTTGGAGACCTACCTCAAATGGGTATGAGCTCGCGCTTAAAACCTCATGATGCCATATCCCACTGTCTT